CTTTTAGAAATATTAATAAGATTTATCCAAATTATCAACAACGCTGCTTCCATTTAAACACCCATTAAAAAAAATTAGAAAAAGATAAATTTTACAACCTTTTCATGTTGTGCAAAGTTATACAGATAACTTGAAATCTAAAAAGCTCATGTGCAAAACACGTAAAAATAAATATTAGTTAATAAATGCAAGGCCAAGTTATACAGATAATTCATAATTTATGTTAGGGTTATAGTGGACTCTAAATCCCGACCTTTGAGTACAAAAAAATCTGATCCTGTCTAGTGTTAGCCATTAAAACTCTTTTGCTACACAAATGAGTACTATGTAAGAAAAATTAATAACAGAACAACCCATCATAAAACTGGATTGAAATAAGAGGAAATATATGTATATAAATATATTAACTAATCATACAAATATCTCAGATATCCCTGAGGGAAAGATTTGATAAATAATAATCTTTGATTGTACCATTTGACGCTAAATACTAAATATTAACCATCTCATCCATTTAAGGCACACATTAATGCCTGCAAATAAAGCCATCCTTAAATTTTTAAGGGCAGAATTAAAAGATGAATCGGCAGCTAAATCACAAGTCATGCAACTTTCGTACACTGTGAAGCCCCTAGTAAAATGTCTCCAATTTGTTTGCAGTACTACCAAATTCATGCTCCAAATACAGAGTACATGATATGTTATTAATTGTACTATATGTACTACAGGTATAGATTCTCCGCATGCCCACTTAATATAAAAATAAGAATATCCTAGAAATCAATTATTGCCACCTATATGCAGGCATTCAGCATTCTAAAAGCAAAGTAGAATAGAAAGAATTGTCTTTTAGAAATCAAGCATTGAAAAATCAAACCTTTGAAAGAAACTTGGAGATAATAAGATCTGATATCCTAGGCCAGGTTAACCTTCCAAAAGAACGAATCCATGAACCATTCTCAAAGCATAGATGCTTGAAAATAAACTCAATGACTTGGATAACTCTCGCATAGATAGAATCACCATCCACATCAACAACCTGAGCATAACAGAGGAGATGTTTCACACTGGAATCCATGAGTCGCTTTCAAGAAAAATGTCAAAAAGAATTGTTTACATGGAGAAAGCATTAAGTTATTTAATTTCATGTTCCAATAAAAAAATCAGCTATCTTTACTTTCTGAAGAAACATCCTAGTTAATTAAATTGTGTCAAATATCAACCAAGGATTTGGAATAGTGGTAGAGAGCACGCACATTATGATCTTGAGAAGGTAATATCTTCAATACTACTTCTGAGATTCCTTCAGAACCTTGGCTTACATCTTCTACAAATGCAATAGGTGATTCATAGTTTGCAGCCGAAGTGATGGCATGCTTAATTATCAAGTCAGCTGCTTTAGCAAGACTATAATCCAGAATTCCAGCTGCCTAAAAAGACAATTTGATATCATCACCACATGCTAAACAACAATATATCAGCATCAATTGACCATAAAAGACAATTTGATATCATCACCACATGCTAAACACTTAAGCAAGAGCAGACAACTTTCAATATTGTTTATCTTTATCACAGCTCCATCCTGGAAACAAAATAATAAAAACTTGTCCAAATATAAGATTTAGCTGGTTCATTCTATAAGCAAGAGGAACATAATGAAAATCTTACATCCATTGCTTCCATAACTGTACGAAGTTCAATCCCATCCATCTTATCAACAGATAATGTGTACTTCACTCTAATTAATCTAGAATCCTGCTCGAACCGAACAGCATTTTCCATCAACTTGGAAAACAAGTCTTGCACCTACAAAACCAAATACAATTCCTCTAAAAATGTAAATCACCAAAAAAATGAATAATAGAAAAAAGAAAGAGGAAAGAAAAAACCAAAGAGATCAAAACTTTAAACGTCATATTTAATCTATTTATGTCTCTCAGTTTGCCTCTTTTCTCTGTAACCAAACATAACTTTACCTCATCGAATAAATCCGCCCATTGCTTCCTCAATAAATTATAGACTATAGGCTCTCCTTCTTCTTCATCGCCAATTCTCAAAGCCTTCTTCAACTCTTTAACTTCTTCGGCGGCGAATCTCAGCCTGCCATTACTCAAAGCCAACCTGGCGCCTTCTAATCTCTCGCAAATCGCTACAATTATCCTCAACAATCCTAACATTTCCCTCTTTTCCCTAGCCTCCTTCGTTGCGCTACCAATCTCACAAACCAACTTACAGATCTCGACATCGATCGGGCGGTCGGAGATCGAAGAGAGAATATCGGAGAGATTGTCAGAGACTTCGTTAGTCTTCGAAACGGCATCGTTGCACTGGGAGAAGAGTGAGGCAAAGTCGTTGCGGTGAGAAAGAAGGTAAGAACGGACTTTCGATTTGATGTGAAGAGAGTGGGATTCAAGGCGGCTGATAAGAAGGCGGAGATCCGGTGCGGATAGCGGCGTGGAAGGGTCGGAGAGGTCGTGGCCGGAGAGGAGATCGCGGACATTGATCTGATCAAAGAGTGGGTCCATCTTCAAACGCTTCGAAGATGTTGATGAAGATCTCTATGTAATAGGATATGAGCAATCCAATAATGGGAAAAGTGAAGTTCCGATCAACTGGGTTTCATGCTTGCTTGTACTAGTTCTCTTCAACATATATGGCACCAAGAGTGATGATGCTTCTACGTTGCTTTACATAACCAGAGGAACATCTAAACTCTATTGTGTTGTTGAAAACCCTATTCTTTGATCTATTAAAATATTTTCCTTTCAAGAAATAAAGAAGAAGAAAGAAAACAGTTAATTGCATAAGAGGTCTCCAAACCATGACACTTATTTTAAATTGATCCTTAGACTTTAAAATATTATATATCTTGGAAAACAGTTATTCTAACATTTCATTCATAAGATGATACGTGTCACCTTATAAAGTGAAAAATTATTAAACTAAATAAATTAAAAATTAAAAAATTCTTTCTAACTAGGTGTGACACATATCGCTATCTGATTTGATAATTAAATTTATTAAATTAAATTATAATTAGGATCAAATTGGTTAAATGTGTAAGTAATAAGGATCAAATATGTAAATATATCAATATATTTAACTATAAATGACAAATGACTTGATTGATAATATTTATATAGTTAAATAATCTGATTAATAAAATTAAAAGATCAGTAATTAAAATAAAAAGGGTAAATAGCTAAATGATCATTGATATAGTTTCCTTTCAATAAAAAAAAAGGATATATGTATTAAAGAGGAAGAAAACAGTTAATTGCATAGGAAATCTCCAAACTATAAGATTTATTTTAAATTAGTTTTTAAATTTTAAAATATTATTTACCAATTCCCAAATTATAAACTAATTCTAAATTAGTCTCTAAACTTTAAAATATTTTATATTGGTCCTCAAATTATTCGTATTATTCTATTTTTGATCTTTTTGTTAAAATATCATTAATTATACATGTTTTTAAGGTTTTGGGAATTGAACTTATGACATTTTAAAAGACAGGGTAAATTATACCTATTACTACCTAATTATTATCCATTTTCATTTTGATTGTTGATCTTTCAATTTTTTTAATTAGACCACTCAACTATTTAAATATTATTAATCAACCCCTTGTTATTAACATTTAATGGAGTAGTTGATGTAGCAGTTTAAAATATTGGAAGATTTAAACATTTGGTCCTTATTAGTTGCACATTCAATCAATTTTGCCATAATTTTAATTTAATTCAATAAATTTAAAAAAAATCCCTCTAATCAGGTGTGACACATGTCAATATTTGATTTGAGAATTAAATTAAAATTAAGATCAAATTGATTGAATGAATAAATAATGAGGACTTGATGTGTAAATTATCAATATATCAATATTTGAGAAGGTCACTGGTTTAGTTTCAAGAACCCTCAAAAATATATGAAATCTTTTTATTAATAGAGTTAACGACGTGTTAGTAAAAGGAGTAAAATGGAATGATATTAATAGTTTGGTTACATATAAAATATTATAAAGTTTAGAGATTAATTTAAAATTATAATTATAGATTGAGAATATCTTATATAATTATCTCAAAAAAACCATATATTAATTTCTAAGACCTTGAATTTTAGACTAGAGTTATTGTAAGAGATAATATAGGTGTTGAAGAGTAATTTTCTTACATTTAATGTTGTCCAGATCATGTTGGTTTCGATACTGCTTGCATTAAACTCAAAAAAAGTCGTTAGAATCACAATGAGTATCAATACTCTAAAGAGAGTATCAGTACTCGATAGGACAATATTGTTTCTCTAGTAAAGATCGATATTATTTTGAGATGGAATTAGTATATACATATAGTTTGAGATGAAATTGAATTGTTCAAGAAGTTTGGGATCAATTTAGAATGACTGTCATAGTTTGGGACAATATTGAAATATTAAAAAGTTTGATGACTAATTTAGAATGATAGTCATAATCTAAAGATAGAATTAAAATATTTAAAAGTTTAAGGGTCTATTTAAAATGAGAGTCATACTTTGAGGATATGTGATATAATTAACTAAAAAATAAAGATAACATATCATTGATTTCACCTCTAGGTCCCACGACTGCCGATTTCAAACCTAAATCCAAGAGGTCGAGGGAAAAATACAAAAACCAAATAAAGAGAGGTAAATTACACGTTTAGTATCTAAACTATTATTTTTATTATGTTTTAGTATTTAAATTTTTATTTTTTTAAAAAATTCATACCTAAAGTTTACTTTTTATTTCATTTTCATACACTGTCGTTAAAAAATTAACGATAGAGCTGACACATCAGTTTAAGTGAACATAAATGTAGGTGTAATTTTAGAAAGATGAAAATTTTGGTACTAGAATGGAATAGGAGTGCTAATTTAGATACTGAACGTGTAGTTTATCCTAAAAAAGAAAATTAGTTTCAGAAATACCCTGGTTTAAGCAGAGAACCACGAATTCAAGCAACCCCGGCCTTATAAATGCCCTAAGCCTTCCATTTGAATTGGAGCCGAGTAAAGAACCACAGTCCTGGCTTATGGCCAATTATAGAAGAGGAGGCTCCATCTTTGATTCATTTTCTCTGAGTCCGCTGCCTTACCCAGTTCTGCTGATCCTGGCGGTGACATCAATATTTCTCGGAATATCATGGTATGCCAACTATGAATCTGTTCTGGAAACCGCTGAAGAGCAACTGAGTTGGGTGCTTTTTGCCACACCGGTTCTGCTCATACTCTTGGCTCGTTGGTTCTCCTCTGTTGATACTAGTGATATGTGGTTATTCAGTTCATCACCGTGGGAACGTCGCCGCCGAACTCACCATCTTCCTCCGGAGGGTAGCTCACCGTGGGCGGTGGCTGCTTTCATTGTGCTGCTGCTGATTTTGGTGCAGTATCAGTCAGTTTTCCGCGTGAGCTGGCTGAAAAACTAGTTGTGAATTTCCTTTTTGGTTGGTTTTTAGGTGTTTGACGTGTGATATACTGAACTGGGTTTGGCTTTATCAGATCATATATGATATTGTTGTCTTAAAATGATACTGCAAAACTTAGAGATGTTACTTGTATAATAGATAGTTGCTTTTGGTTTTAAGTTTTGATCATATAAATATTTGTTTGCTTAGAGATAATTTCAGCTTAAAAAAACTCGGACCCTGTTTCGGATTTTCAGAAAACCGAATGAAACACGAACAAGACTTCAGTAATAAAAGAATTGTTAGTATTTTTTAAAATTTTGAGTTTGAATATCATAAATATCAAAATATAAATATCTAATATTAAATAATTAAAAAATTATCTTAAACAAATACTATTATTTTATAATTACTCTATATTAATAAATAATTAAAAACGGATGATATAATATAACCTGAAGATTCAGTCAAAGAAGGATTTTTTCTTTTATTTAAAAATGAAGGGTGGGGTAATTGCAAGTTAAATATCTCTACTTACAAGATATCTGTAACTTATGTAGCAAGGTGTCAGTTAGTTAGGAAAATTACGTCATGATCTTAAATTAATATGAATAATAAAATATGAAAATATTGTGGGTGTATTTATTTCTGAAAAATTATTTTGAGATCTAAATTATTTGTTATAGTATAAATAGGACTTGTGATGTTTACGTGAAGAATTTTATAAAATATATTAAAAATAAAATTATTATATGAATTAGACGAAAATTATATGAAATTTATCATGAATATGTGACGAATTTAAATTATTTATTATATTTTGTGGAATTTATCATTTTCACAAGATCGATTTTAAATACACTATAATAAATAGTTTAGATCCCGAATTAATTTTTCAATACTTACATTTTCTATTTTTTTTCCTAATTAGATTATTCAGCTAAGGAATACAAATATTAATATTAATTTAAAAAACATTTTCTAATTTTTATTTGAAATAATTGAAAGATAATATTTATTTTAAAAAAATAATTTATTAATAATACGCACACTATATAAATGTTATGACTTGAACCTAATTTTTTCACTTTTCTTTTTTTGATTAATCTAAAGTAAATATAAGATAATATATATTTAAAGATAATTCTTAATCATGACATTAATATAATGACATTTTTAAAATTTTTAATTTTGTAACTTAAAATTTTAAAAAATAACAATAATTTGTTATTATTAAATTCGCTTGGTTGATACTATTTACACATATTTTTAAAGTTACATTTTAGTATTTGTCTGATATAACATCAATAAGCAGGTGGGACCATGACCCTTATCATGGGCTGCACGTCATATATTTAAGAGTGTCTGTTCCAATTTTCTATTAAGAATTAATTAGTTTTAAATAAAGGGTAAACTGTGCTAATAGTATTTTTTATTTAGGATCTTGTCGACTTTAGTCATTAATTTTAAAATTAAGGGTAAATAGTCACTCACATTATCAGTATGTCCGGTTTAAGTTTTTTCGCTATTAATTTTTGTTAACCCTCTTTTGTTTAAGTCTCTAACACTGTTGAGGAACTAAAATTGAACCGGAGTTAACGACTGAGGTACTAAAATCGAACGAATCGATAACATTAGGGATTAAAATTGAACTGATCGATAACGTTAGAGATCTTTTCTCTTTAATTTTTAAATTGGTGATCAATTCTGGTCATACTGAAAAATATAGGGGACTATTCACATAGTTTACCCTTAAATAAATGAAAAAAAGGTGCAGGAACATGAGAAAAGCAATTGAAAAAGTAGCAACGTCGGTCGCTAATGGCCAAAATAAACGTTCCTTGCGCTTATTTATTATGTTGGAGATTATTATTATTGAAAAACTCGGATTATGCTGCTGTTATTGCTCCATTTGTCTTCCAAATTAAACATAAATAATTATAGGGATTTGAGCCTCCAGCGGTCGGTAACAGACGTATGATTTTTTATTAGGAAAAATAAAATTTTAAGATTTTAAGTATAAAAAAATTTATAAAATTTTAGTGAAATATATTTTTAATAAAAAATATAAAAAATTATTTAAAATATATATATAATTTAAAACTTTTAGGAAACGAATGCCTTAATCCACTTACTTCGAGTCATCTAGGTCTATCCCTACATGCTGCACTACCACTACCACTACCACTACCACTACCACTATCACTACCACTTTCATTATCACTACCACGTGTTTCTACTTTAGTTATTAATTAGTGCAACAATTAATTCAACCAGCTGAACCTATTTGTAGCTATGCGTCCAGCGCTTATCCAAACTACTTGTACGGCCGGTGCTACTTTAAGTCGCATTGTCAATGGATGACCTTTCAGAGCACTCAATAATCACAGGTGCTTGATGAGCATTTGATTTTTGGTAGTGTAGCTCTGGCCAGTTATGACCTCATCATTATGACTAATTGTACTCTATGCGACTTATTCCAAAAAGTATAATATGAGTTTGATTCGATTAAAAAAATTATGAGTTTAAAATTATTAAGTTTGACTTAATTTAAAATACAAAATTGAAGTTTGACTCGAAAGCTCGTGAGCTTAAAATTTTTAAATTTGACTCGAAATAAAAAAAATAAAGTTTGATTCAAGCTTAAAAATCTTAAACTCAAAATATTCTCAAACTTAACTAGATTAAGTTCAAACTCAAGGTCAAATCTAAACCTTAAGTACATGAATGTATTATAATGTATATTTTAAAAAAAATAAGAATAACATATAAATATTAATATATTATTTTTTAGAGTTGCTCATAAATGATACAAAGTACAAAAATATAACCCTCTCAAACCGATGCGAATAGCCCAATCCGATCTGGGTGTCATAATAGGGCCATCGGAGCGATCTATTATAAAAACAGCAGAAAATTTAAAACTTTTATTAAAACATGTAAAATCATAAAATGATTTATTAATATTCAGAAATAGAACATATTTTCATACTCATATATAAAACAAAATACAATATACATGCCCCCTAATCACATGTACCATACTCTGCAAGCAACGCCAGAAGAACTCCCTTATTGATGTCGATAATTGCATTGGTACAATTCTTTTAATCTGCAATGGTGGGTAATAGAGTGAGCTTCGGAAGACTCAGTAACACAGAACTACCAGATGATGCTACATGACATGCAGATAAATGGAAAGCCATATTATTTCCTTATTGAATCAAACGTATATCGGTTTTTAGGATAATCTGGGATTCCACTGGTAGTTCATCAAGTAGAAGTCATGAAGATCTTAGTTCATAGGAAGCGCTCATAGTATAACATTTTCAGGAGAACAAATAGGATGTCTAGTGTGTTCCAACAGTACGATAACTCATAATAGATATACTAATCAAATAATAGTTCATTAAAATATCATAAATCATAATGTAGTTTAGCTTTTTAAACCCATAGTTTAAACCCATTGTATAAGGAGTTAACCTAAGGGAATATTTTAGGGTCTGAGAGCATACCCAAGAAAGTTTTGGGGCCATGAGGCCTACCTAAGAACACATCTTAGCAGGGCCTACTCGAGAATGATCTGAGGGCTTCAGAGCATACCTAAGAGTCACATTAGGTCCATAAAAACTTTCCAGCTTGATCAGAGCTGTACTTTTCAAAAATACAATTGCACCGTGACATAATTTCCATAAATCCTTAATCATTGTAATCATATAACAGTGAAAACCAATAATCAGATAGCAGTCATAATCCATAAGCTATCACCATTAAGTCAGTGCATCAATAAAACAATAACCATAGATTTCAGTGTATCACATGTTAAAACAATAAAACGATTAAGTAATATATAAGGAACACACTAAAAAGTCCAAGTATTTTTCAACGACATTTTGTAGTCTTCAATATGGATAACAGTAAACTTATGCAATTTAATCAAATTCCAGGAACAAGGTCCTATTGAAGAGAATCGATTACTAGCCGATCTAATCAGATTCAGGTGCATACAGAAGGTGTTCAGGAACTTTTATACTGAATGAATTTTAGATTCAGATTTATGGAGAGTGATTCCATTACTCAACTTATCTGAGGTATCCATAATCCTTTGCATCTGAGTTACTTGTGTGAATCAAATATGTCCTGAGTGATTTGAGCTGATAAGGGAGAAAACGCAGATTCAGAACATGTACCCTTTATATTGATCGATCAGATTATCAAACAACTCCCAGAATTGATGCCTGTTGACTGGTCAATTCCTTTCCCTACTAAGGTATTCACTCTTTAATATTAATAACTCTTGTCCATAAATCATCTTCATAATCATCACGTAATAGATATTCCAATAGTCTTTATTTATTCCCACGTTTCAACGATATAAAATAATACTGACGTATTTGATTCGTGGTTCATAACCCATAAGGGCAATACATCATGTAAGTTTAACAGCATTTCCAGACTCAACCAAATCACTTATTTAATCCGCAATCATTGAGGTAACTTAGTTCATTTAGTAATCAATTATATCCCAGTTACTTCAGGGTTTTTCAGAGTAATTTAGACATTTCTGAATTTCATATACATATTGTATTTCTGTTCAATTTCATTTAGTCATATAATAAAGTCATTCTGGTATTCGTGGTTGATTTGTCTCACGAATATCCACTTCTTAGTATCGAATGCGCTCTAGAGTTGAGCTGAGCTAAGTACTTCCAGAATTATCATCGATCCAAACTTGAGAATACGAACACGCATTCAAGTGATATCTATGTCATTCAGGTATTGACATAATATTAGGGTTGATCTACTCACTTAAGTTATGTTCCATAACTTTTAAGGGTAGTACAACACCTATGTTTATTTGGATTTCTTAATTAATCCAAGACATTTAATTAGTCTAGGTCTGTAACATCCCAAAAGTTGGGTCAATGACAAAAATAGAATTTTGGTAGTTTAGTGATCAATCTCAGAAAAGATTGAAAGTTTAGGGATTTAAATGAAAAGTGTTGATGTTGGATTTAATAACAAAGTTTGAAAGTAATAAGGGTACTATGGTCATTTTTAGGGAAGAATTTTGTTTCCCTTTATAAAGGGTAATAAGCACGTGGGAAAGGAGATAATTTCTCCAGATCATTCTTCAGTC